GACAGCAGTTCGTTGAAACTAAGGCTATATGCCGATTTTGCTGTATTGCCGACTCTTGTGCATAACTTCCATCACAACTATTTCCCCGTCGTCTGTTGAGCAAAGAAGGTGTTATCTCCACGGCGATTTCCCCACCACAGGCGACAATCAGTTGTTCTATAAGATTGACATCAACGGAATCCGCCGTTGGACTATTATTACCTATTAAAAGAAACCACGTAAGCGTACTAAAGCGTATCTAAAACATTCAAAGTATCTCATTTATCACACTTCATATGGCTTTTAGGAAAGAATAAAAAACGCGAAAATACAGCAAGGTCACCGTAAGTTTTTTTAATTCTGAGTCATTTGATAAAGTCTCGGGTCTGTAGTGTAAATTGAACCTTTGTTTCAACGCACTCACTCACTTCATCTTTTGATTTGTGACTCTCCTGTACACACTACGTTCACTCTCTCCTCTTGTTGTGCTTTCATTCAGCGCACTCTCCGAGCCTGCTACTAGTCAAAACCACAGATAGGTTCTTTAACACCTCTATATTTATTAAATTTGATATTTCATTTGTGTAAAATAAAACTCTGTCCCCAAACACACTTCCCGCGTCTCAAGTCTTTTTACTCTAATTCCATTCGTCAGTACTTACACGTTAGATCCCGACCGAAAGCTGCTACCTTGACGTGGTGGTCGGGCTTGAACACTGCAATGACCCAACAAGCTATACTGGCTGGAACTTATGTTCCTGCAGGTCCTACCATGCCAGAAAGGTTGTTTGGATAGCAGTTAGACTAAAAGCAGTTACCCAATCCAATCCTATCATTTCAAATAAATCACAAAATATCATGCCGGATCGGTCGGGGCCCGGATTAACAACGACCGCGCTTTCTGCTGCCGTGTCACAGGGCAGAAGTGATAAATACGCTACTGAGACACACCAGATAGAAAAGAACAAACAAAAACAGGCCGTGTGTGACCGGCCTCAAGCAGTTGTCCCCTGGGCTCTGCGGTCACGCAACCAACTTCCACGGTGTGGGCAGCCGGGAAGTAACAATCGCCCTCACAATCCGAAGTGCACGCGAAACCTCTCTATTCCTCACTCACCTTTGTCTTCATCTTCATCTCTATTATCTTACCTTCCTTCTACTAATGCAACTCCTCTACTTAATGGCCCTTCACTTCCTCTTCACTCTGTGTGCACTGATAACGATGGAAGCCAAAAAGCCACCACCAATGGTCTCCTAAGACCACGCCACCAATTTTATATAGGAGCATTTAATGTTAGGACACTTTGCCAAATAGGACAACAAGCATCACTAGCCAAGACTCTGGCATTCCGAGCCATTGATGTATTTTGTGTTTCAGAAACACGCATACAAGACCCAAGTGTGGTTATTCACCTAACCCCACCTGGCCAACAGGATGAATCTGCAAAATTCACCTTGAGGGTGTCAGGAGATGCGACGGCTAGCTCACGAGGATTAGCTGGTGTTGGGATAGCTTTAAGTACTAGGGCAGAAAAGACATTACTTGACTGGATCCCGGTAGATAGCCGAATGTGCGCTGTCCGCCTGAACGGATCAGTGAAAAGGAGAAGGACTGCACTACCCGCCGATGCCTTTTCGTAATCTCCGCCTACGCCCCCACTGACTGCAGTTCGGATGAAACGAAGGATGAGTTCTACCAAAAGCTGTCAAGTTTGCTGCGAAAGGCTAAACGCTCAGATATAGTCGTTTTAGCTGGTGACTTTAATGCTCAAGGAGGGAAATTGTGTCAATCTGAGAAGAATGTCGGTGGCACATACGGAATTCCGTGCCAGCGAACCGACAACGGTGACCGTCTCCTACAGTTCAGTTCAGATAATCACTTGTTTCTTGTAAGCACTAACTTCAAACACAAGGAGAGACACTGTCTTACCTGGCGACCCCCATCATCAAATCAACGCTGGACACAAATAGACCACATAGCAATAAGCTATCGTTGGCGTGGGTCGGTAGGAGATTGAGCTCCTTCTGGAACGTGTGTAGATACCGATCAGGCACTGGTCTGCGCTCGTGTGTGCTTACGACTTAACGGACGTAGGAAACATCACGTCCCCAGCTCGATCATGAAACTAAGTTCCTATTTGAGGAAGAACTAACTAAACACATATCTGAGTTCGACAGCAGCGCTCACTCTGAAGAAGACCGAAATCACACAAGCTGAATATATTTCACTATCGTATTCATCTATTTCGTTTGTATAAAACTAGTCATTTTAGGTATGTATATTCTTTGAAGCAGACTTCAAGTCTGCCTTCATTCTACCAGAAATCATTTTCATATTATCTGACTGCGATAAGTAGACTTTATTATATTTTGTTTGAAATTTTAGATGAAAATTGACTGGTGAAGTAAATTTTCAATCTACTATAAGGCTTCTAGGAGCCATTTTATATCATTAGCTTTGTAAGTGGTTTAACCCATAAATAGTAGTGGACACCTTATTTATCGAAGAATTTCATTTGTGGATGACATTTCTTTTCTGTTGTTCTGTCATTCATATTTATTTACTTAACTCTCTTATCAATCAATACACTTGTATTTGTCCTAAGTGAAAAATAAACTAAATGTATCGTGTATACTTTAAACCTCTCTGGTTGACGTATAGTACAATTACACTACACAGGTTGATGATCCAACATTATTGTTTTCCTTTAATTCCTCCACGTTCCCAGTGGAACATAGGGATTCAAGCCAAAGCTTTGAAGTTTCGGTAGCAGTTGCGTTTATTTTTACAGGATGGAGTTGCTAGCCTCATGCCAAACCTTTCCTCTTTACCAGTCTTATTACTGGCTTCGCTAGGTAAAGGAGTGCGTCGGCCGGAGATCTAACCCCGGATCGCATGCACGGTCGGCGAGCATTCTACCACTGTGCCACCAACGCACAAACAACACTGTAAATCTGTTTAATTTCTATATGCGTATATTATTAATTATACTTTTTCAGGATGATTACATTTGAGGTTGTAATTAGCTTCAGAGAATGTAGTACTGTACAGTTTTTGGTATGGTCATCACTAGATAAATGACAAATAAAATGTACCTTTAGATTCCAAATTTCGTATAGGCTTAAAACATTTGAGACCTCATGAAAATTGTTTTGTAGTAGTCTTAAGGTCTGAAGAGAATTAATCTAGAACTTAAAATCTTCACCAGTCAAGTACTGATGAATTACCAGATTAAAGCAAAAAAACACAATAAAGCTTGCTTCCAAACAATTTTTATAAGTCTGTTTCATTCTTTTTACCCAAACGTAATTTGTTTGGCGTTATTTGTATTAGTTATCAGTGTGATGTTTGAACTTACTACTATCATTATCTTTCCATCCATCAAACATAACACAACCGTATAAGCCACGTTTTATGCATATTAATGTAAGTCTTCTTTTCTCAATACATTAACTTTTGAGTTAATTCAAATTTACTGCTCCATCTTATTTTTTATTCTTGGGAGAAATCAAAGAAAATCATCTCTTTCGTTTATCTGACACAGCCAACCTCATTTCCACTACATTACGAATGCATCAGGATGTCAGAGCCCGCCAGGATCGAATTAGGGAAGTCTCAGTCTCACAGCGTGTTATACAGTAATGTTTACTGATGACCACGTTTCGAGCACAACTTATTGCTCATAATCATATCAAGGGACTCACACGACTTTCTAGCTTCCATTACTTTTCATCGCTTGATTTGATTGGTAGTAGTATTCTCCATATTTCCGGAAAATGAACAAGGAGAATTAGCTGTGATGTTAGATTGTAAAATAAAACGAATAGAAGAAGGTAAACTGCACACTAGCGTTTTTAAAAAGCCAACGCATTCTGCTAATAGATATTCAGACTTTAATTCATCTCATCTGTCCGTTATCTGTCTGTTAAGGCAGGCTTAGTTAAGTTAAGTGTTTAACAAACCGAGCAATAGCACTAAGTAGCACAAGAAAAGGCCTAAATGATGAAACAAAACAGACACAAGAAGAGGCGTCGGTGTCAAATAACTAACTATCCTATAAAATTCAATAAGAAGATCAGTAAAGGCCAAAAGCAAAATCGAAAAATAATTGTGAAACTCGTAATGATAACATAAATTAGGGAGAATATAAGTCATCTACTGTGATACCATATAAGGATGGAGGGGATATCTGAGACACTCCCTACGTGGGATTCTTAATAATATGGGAATCAGGCTGGCAGTGGCATTTAAACCTACAAACTCACTCAGGTAGGACAAGCTCTGTAGACTAAAAGACCCTGACGGTTGACCCAATTAGACAAAGTAATATAATTCACAAAATACCTTGCATTGACTCTGACTTAGGTCAACTACATAGGTGAAACAGACTAGTAGATCGGGGGTAATCAGATTGTCGGAACATAAGAATTTAGCTAAGGTTAGAATGGTTGACCCCACCCGAGAAGATAAGTAATTTAGAGAAACGCTCAGCACTACATTGCACTGAATGCATTAGCACACAATCACACAATAGGGTGGGTGGGGTAGAGTCAAAATTCTAAAAAGTAATATAGGTAGGTGGAGACAGAGACAGATTGAATACCGAATTCTGGTTCATCGTGTCTACACCCAATATGTGCAACAGGAATGACTCATCACTCATACCCAAAATATGGAAAATACCACTACTGCCAATCATCAAATCAAGCGATGAAAAATAATGGAATTATATAAACGAAGTTAGAAAGTTATATGAGTACCTTGATATGATTATGAGCAGCAATAAATTGTGCAAGAAACGTGGTCATCAGTAAATACATTACACTGTACAACACTGTGAGAATAAAGATAAGTAAAATAAATTTCACCCATAATGGAATTAAAATTGCAAAGTTATTATCGTAGATGTATGGATACTGGCAAAATGAAATACGAAAAGTCAGTTGGGGTGGATCTAATATATGCACACATATTAGTGAAAACAACAAAATAAAGCACAAAATATTTTGACGCCTCTTACTTCAGCACCAACAGGCAGCAAATAAACCGGAATAATATCGGATTCTTTGACACTTGCTCTTTTCCCGTCGTCGAAAACAACGCGACAGCTACAGAGAATAAGAGTAAACCGGAATAGAAATAACATAAATTCAAGTCTTTACAGAGGGAAAGTAATCCTAGAAGGCTGGAGTATTGAGAACTCCACAATGATTGTATAACCCTAACCACCTAGTTTGAATCCACGAATTTTCAAAGCTCTATCCACCCACCCACTTACCCATAAGTACTCACTCAATGTGAGTGCCATCATAGGATTATGAGCAATAAACTGTTCTCCAAAAGGCCATCAATAAATAAATAAGTAATACTGTATAACACAGGGGGCTTTCATTAAAAAAAAATCAATTTACTCTATCATGGAATTATACTGCTACCACAGTGCGCAAATTTTACTGTTCTATCTACCTACAACCTAGCCTACAATCGAAGTCCACGATAAATTGGTATTACTTTTCGTTTTAAAACATCATCAATAGTATGATGTATAGTCAAGTTGTCTCCTTCTTCTTTTTCCCTTCACGTTGCTCAGTGGGACATAGGGCTTCAAGCTAATGGCTTGAAGTTTCTGTAGCAGTGTTTATTTTACAGGATGGGGTTGCTAGCCTCATGCTCAACCTTCCCTCTTCACCAGCATCATTTCTAGCTTAGTGAGGTAAAGGAGTGCGTCGGCCGGGGATCGAATCCCGAACCATGTGCATGGTTGGCGAGCGTCCTAACCACTATGCCACCGGCGAACTTAGTCAAGCTGTGCATATATATATATATACATACATACATATATATATATATGTATATATATATATGCATGCACAACTTGACTATACATCATACTATTGATGATGTTTTAAAACGAAAAGTAATACCAATTTATCGTGGACTTCGATTGTAGGCTAGGTTGTAGGTAGATAGAACAGTAAAATTTGCGCACTGTGGTAGCAGTATAATTCCATGATAGAGTAAATTGATTTTTTTTTATGAAAGCCCCCTGTGTTATACAGTATTACTTATTTATTTATTGATGGCCTTTTGGAGAACAGTTTATTGCTCATAATCCTATGATGGCACTCACATTGAGTGAGTACTTATGGGTAAGTGGGTGGGTGGATAGAGCTTTGAAAATTCGTGGATTCAAACTAGGTGGTTAGGGTTATACAATCATTGTGGAGTTCTCAATACTCCAGCCTTCTAGGATTACTTTCCCTCTGTAAAGACTTGAATTTATGTTATTTCTATTCCGGTTTACTCTTATTCTCTGTAGCTGTCGCGTTGTTTTCGACGACGGGAAAAGAGCAAGTGTCAAAGAATCCGATATTATTCCGGTTTATTTGCTGCCTGTTGGTGCTGAAGTAAGAGGCGTCAAAATATTTTGTGCTTTATTTTGTTGTTTTCACTAATATGTGTGCATATATTAGATCCACCCCAACTGACTTTTCGTATTTCATTTTGCCAGTATCCATACATCTACGATAATAACTTTGCAATTTTAATTCCATTATGGGTGAAATTTATTTTACTTATCTTTATTCTCACAGTGTTGTACAGTGTAATGTATTTACTGATGACCACGTTTCTTGCACAATTTATTGCTGCTCATAATCATATCAAGGTACTCATATAACTTTCTAACTTCGTTTATATAATTCCATTATTTTTCATCGCTTGATTTGATGATTGGCAGTAGTGGTATTTTCCATATTTTGGGTATGAGTGATGAGTCATTCCTGTTGCACATATTGGGTGTAGACACGATGAACCAGAATTCGGTATTCAATCTGTCTCTGTCTCCACCTACCTATATTACTTTTTAGAATTTTGACTCTACCCCACCCACCCTATTGTGTGATTGTGTGCTAATGCATTCAGCGCAATGTAGTGCTGAGCGTTTCTCTAAATTACTTATCTTCTCGGGTGGGGTCAACCATTCTAACCTTAGCTAAATTCTTATGTTCCGACAATCTGATTACCCCCGATCTACTAGTCTGTTTCACCTATGTAGTTGACCTAAGTCAGAGTCAATGCAAGGTATTTTGTGAATTATATTACTTTGTCTAATTGGGTCAACCGTCAGGGTCTTTTAGTCTACAGAGCTTGTCCTACCTGAGTGAGTTTGTAGGTTTAAATGCCACTGCCAGCCTGATTCCCATATTATTAAGAATCCCACGTAGGGAGTGTCTCAGATATCCCCTCCATCCTTATATGGTATCACAGTAGATGACTTATATTCTCTCTAATTTATGTTATCATTACGAGTTTCACAATTATTTTTCGATTTTGCTTTTGGCCTTTACTGATCTTCTTATTGAATTTTATAGGATAGTTAGTTATTTGACACCGACGCCTCTTCTTGTGTCTGTTTTGTTTCATCATTTAGGCCTTTTCTTGTGCTACTTAGTGCTATTGCTCGGTTTGTTAAACACTTAACTTAACTAAGCCTGCCTTAACAGACAGATAACGGACAGATGAGATGAATTAAAGTCTGAATATCTATTAGCAGAATGCGTTGGCTTTTTAAAAACGCTAGTGTGCAGTTTACCTTCTTCTATTCGTTTTATTTTACAATCTAACATCACAGCTAATTCTCCTTGTTCATTTTCCGGAAATATGGAGAATACTACTACCAATCAAATCAAGCGATGAAAAGTAATGGAAGCTAGAAAGTCGTGTGAGTCCCTTGATATGATTATGAGCAATAAGTTGTGCTCGAAACGTGGTCATCAGTAAACATTACTGTATAACACGCTGTGAGACTGAGACTTCCCTAATTCGATCCTGGCGGGCTCTGACATCCTGATGCATTCGTAATGTAGTGGAAATGAGGTTGGCTGTGTCAGATAAACGAAAGAGATGATTTTCTTTGATTTCTCCCAAGAATAAAAAATAAGATGGAGCAGTAAATTTGAATTAACTCAAAAGTTAATGTATTGAGAAAAGAAGACTTACATTAATATGCATAAAACGTGGCTTATACGGTTGTGTTATGTTTGATGGATGGAAAGATAATGATAGTAGTAAGTTCAAACATCACACTGATAACTAATACAAATAACACCAAACAAATTACGTTTGGGTAAAAAGAATGAAACAGACTTATAAAAATTGTTTGGAAGCAAGCTTTATTGTGTTTTTTTGCTTTAATCTGGTAATTCATCAGTACTTGACTGGTGAAGATTTTAAGTTCTAGATTAATTCTCTTCAGACCTTAAGACTACTACAAAACAATTTTCATGAGGTCTCAAATGTTTTAAGCCTATACGAAATTTGGAATCTAAAGGTACATTTTATTTGTCATTTATCTAGTGATGACCATACCAAAAACTGTACAGTACTACATTCTCTGAAGCTAATTACAACCTCAAATGTAATCATCCTGAAAAAGTATAATTAATAATATACGCATATAGAAATTAAACAGATTTACAGTGTTGTTTGTGCGTTGGTGGCACAGTGGTAGAATGCTCGCCGACCGTGCATGCGATCCGGGGTTAGATCTCCGGCCGACGCACTCCTTTACCTAGCAAAGCCAGTAATAAGACTGGTAAAGAGGAAAGGTTTGGCATGAGGCTAGCAACTCCATCCTGTAAAAATAAACGCAACTGCTACCGAAACTTCAAAGCTTTGGCTTGAATCCCTATGTTCCACTGGGAACGTGGAGGAATTAAAGGAAAACAATAATGTTGGATCATCAACCTGTGTAGTGTAATTGTACTATACGTCAACCAGAGAGGTTTAAAGTATACACGATACATTTAGTTTATTTTTCACTTAGGACAAATACAAGTGTATTGATTGATAAGAGAGTTAAGTAAATAAATATGAATGACAGAACAACAGAAAAGAAATGTCATCCACAAATGAAATTCTTCGATAAATAAGGTGTCCACTACTATTTATGGGTTAAACCACTTACAAAGCTAATGATATAAAATGGCTCCTAGAAGCCTTATAGTAGATTGAAAATTTACTTCACCAGTCAATTTTCATCTAAAATTTCAAACAAAATATAATAAAGTCTACTTATCGCAGTCAGATAATATGAAAATGATTTCTGGTAGAATGAAGGCAGACTTGAAGTCTGCTTCAAAGAATATACATACCTAAAATGACTAGTTTTATACAAACGAAATAGATGAATACGATAGTGAAATATATTCAGCTTGTGTGATTTCGGAATATATGAGCAGTCATTTGATGTAGCTATTCTGATCAAAATATTATGAAGGAACTACAGAATAAACCCGAAGCCTTAATAAGCTGATGAGTGATTAAGTAAAAACATTAAATTAACAACAGGAGTGTAATTGTCTTAATAACTTACTTTATATTTTCCTAAGCAAAGAAGATAAACTCAAGAAACAGGATTACACCCCTAGAGTTATAAAACAGTATAAAGCAACAGTGAAACTCAAATGAAAGTCTTAACTCACTACCATGTAAATCAAGTCTCAACTAGGGTAACCAGCACGCAAAATTTTTGTATTACTCATTACGAATATTCACTCACTTTGTTGAAGATATCTAGGTTGTCAAATTTAATCAGTTCACTTGAAGTCATGAAAAATTTGACTCTTATTAGGAAAGAACAGTTCAATGAAACGATATGTAGTACATAAAATTAGAATTTTTAAACAATCATGAAAATATAATACCTGTAAGATTCCAAAAAAACCTATTTTATTTACCTGGAGAACTGCTGACCAACGTTCTCTATTATCTATCCTTCAGAGAAAGTAAATACTGACTGTGAAGATAAATTAACATTATTTTAGAATTCACTGATTCATCTGAGACACTCCCTACGTAGGATTCTTAATAATATGGGAATCAGGCTGGCAGTGGCATTTAAACCTACAAACTCACTCAGGTAGGACAAGCTCTGTAGACTAAAAGACCCTGACGGTTGACCCAATTAGACAAAGTAATATAATTCACAAAATACCTTGCATTGACTCTGACTTAGGTCAACTACATAGGTGAAACAGACTAGTAGATCGGGGGTAATCAGATTGTCGGAACATAAGAATTTAGCTAAGGTTAGAATGGTTGACCC